ACAGCCCTCAAACCTGTTCTGATCAGAAGCTGCAGCATTTTCTTTATCATCATTTTCAGTCAGTTCAGTCCCTGTTATGAATTGTTCGTGTCTATTGTTGCTGTTCTCCTCTCCGTTTGGAGCTTGGAGGTTCGAATTATTCTCTTCAGCAGTAAGCAGTCTGTTCGCTTCACCTCCTGAGTTATCTGATAACGCTGAATCCAAAATTTTCGTTAATGGTGGTGCTGCTGAAGACAGACAGGTATCAGTTGTAGATTTTTGCTGTTCAAACAGTGCTGATACTGCTGAATCCATCGTATGCTGTTTGTCATTGTTAATATTCTGGATCCTCGAAATATCCAAGGTAGTACAGCTTCTTGATTTCGCATTGACATCCATATTACTGCAACCATTTCCCTCCAATTCCTTGGAGGTTGGTGGCTTTGACAACTGCACTTTGCATTTGCTCTTAATAGATCTCACAGATTTAGCTTCTTGAATTTGAGAATTCTTTGACGATTTACTAGAATGCAGCAAGACCTGCTTCCTTTGACTCGTGATCTCGACCCTTTTCGTTCTTTCACGTAATTTTGTCAAGGGCGTACGCAGTTCAACACTAGTCTTTACCTTAATGAATTTCTTGGGAGAGTGAAAGATGAGAGCCTTCGCTGCCATTCGATTTTTCGGGACTTCAATGGCTGTTGATTTTGGGTTTCGAACACTTCTAAAGGAGTTCTGTTTTGGGAGGCCATTTCTGTTCCTTGGAGTTGTTAAATACTTGGCAGCTACTGGCTTTGTGTTGGTGGTGGTTGGTGTAGACACAGGCTTCAGAAGGGGCCGAACAACCTTTTTCTTGTCCTCTATGATCTTCTGAGAATTTGAGGAAACAAATGCTAATCTTGACTTGGAAGATTTTGGGGGAGCTGACTGTGGGCATTTTGAACTGTGAAGTAAAAGTAATTTTTGTCATGTTATATAAGCAGATTACACCATAACAAAATACGCATTTTTGAAAGAAACCTAGATTCTGCGTTGTGAACTCCATTTTTATCTCTTCGTCCAGTTCATTTGTTTCTTTGCTAGGTTTCGAAAAAGATTTAAAACTAGATCCTTTACAACTACATTTTGAGTTGAGTACATGAAAACTATCTACGAGAAAATATAAAAAGCAACTAGATTGTTGATGGATAGGCTACAGAATATTATTTTGTCACTCTGATTATCAAAGGTAAAATTCAGAGGAAAGTGCTACATATACATAATTGTTTACATAATGGTATCCATAATTACATGTGGCACTGGATCCAACCTTTAATTTAAATCTTATACTTTCACATCAACAATCGAATGATTGCTACATCACATTATGGATGCTAATATGTGCAATAATTATGTACATGTAAAATTTTCCAAATTTTCAGAATGTTTTACCTTGAAGCACTTTTGTTGAGTGCTTTTCGGAGTCTGACATTTGGACTCCTAGCTGCCATTACCTATATAAACAAGGAGTTAAAACTTGAATCACTTCCAGAAAGAAACAGCCATCGAGCATAGAAATCACTGACGGAAACTAACCCGAAGAACAAAATTCTTATAGATTGTTTCAGAATCCATTTCTTTCTCGTGCTGTTGGTCACATCCTGAAAGACAAAAAATATAGGAAAACACAAGTCTTGGAAAATTGCTCTAAACATCATCATGTGTGGTGCAATTAAAATCTTGTTGATGGTTCTCTGCAATCTTCAGTACTGCTCTTAAAAATGATATTTACCATACAAAAAGGGAAGGTTTA